ATATGATCGCTATGTCTTCAGGTAAAATACATTTGTCACAATAATGGTCTTATATCAAATTTTTAGTTTCATATCTTACGATCCATTCAATAGTATTTGGAATTCACATATGATTTTTATCCCAGGTTCACCTTTGCCGTCCAGAGCCGCTATGGGTGTTAGCGGTTTATCAGGAACTGTTTCGGGAACCGTAACGGGAGCAGGACCAGGACAACCTCTTTGTCAGAGCAGCACCATGCCCGTACTGTCATCTGCACATAACTCTTATGGATGTCCACCTCCAGGATCTGCCTCCTATTCTCTGGGTCTCTCAGGTGGTCCAGTGCCACACAGTTCGGCCGCTTACTCTTACCAACCACTATGACGGGCCTCATGGGCATAGGTAAGACAGATTTTAAAAATTCATAAAATAGCAAAATATGATATATAACATACATACTAAATATTGATAGTTATTTAATTCAAGTAAATTTGTCATTGCAAGTATTAGGAATCAGCCAAAATAGCACTAAATGTTTTACTACTTCTAGTTTTGTACGTACAACAATTTTGATATATGTACTTTTCTTCATATAATTTTTTCTTGCATAATTTAGCCTTGAAGACTACAGCAATTTAAGAATTTAATATATATACAGATACAATAACTAATAAAATTAAATGCAAATCATATTTTTATACATTACTAAAATATGTTTATACAAAGAGCACAATACTTTACACAAGTACATACATAGTTTACAATAAATTATGATATTAATTCGTTGCTGCTTAATTTAAATAGCTTAATATGTAATCTGTTGCTCAGTATAAATATGTTTAAAAAATTTAAATATTGGTAAGAATTGCAATTGCAAAAAGAATTCTTATTTTTATTATTATTATTATATTATACTTTGGGTAGGGCGGGACACAATGGTCGAAATTGACTTTGAGCAATTATATTGTGAAAACCAAACCAATTATATCATAACAAATAACACATATCGTACAAACAACTATCTGACTATGTTCAGTAAAACTCTCAGCTGATTCATCATTGTAGAAATTTGTTTTGTTTTCTATTTTTAAAAAATTGTCACTTGTTCTTTTTACCTTATGGGCGGGGATAATGAGACGGCCAGGTGGCAAACAGGTCCAATGCTTTATTTTTAATTTTAAAAGGATTTTACGAAATAATAGCTACATTATTTAACCAATGCAAAATAAAATCTTATGGGTACACTTTTCACATAAATAACACTTACATAACCTTAATCTGTTAATTCGTCAGAAATAATCATCAACGGATTTTTTTTTTGTTTATTTATTGACTTTGTATACACATAAATTAGTCATATACATTTTATAATTTCATTTGATTGTACATAATTATATAGTGCACCATATATCTATATCCTTTTCTTGTCAATAATGTTATAAAATTGGCTTGAGGGAGATTTTTGCCTTACTATCTCCCTCCATAGTTCTCGCATACCCTTCTTAGCGGAGTTAAAATAACTATTTATTTAATTATCTCTTGTAAAATTGTTTTTTTTTAAATCAATTAAATTTTTTATTTACTATTTTTTTGTGTTTACATCTAAGCCGGATGAAGGTTTAGTTGGCTCTTTTTACCCCACCCACAGCAAACTTTTATAGAAGTTATACAAAAAACTGCTGGATGTAACTTAAAATTAACATGACATCTTGTAAATTAAAATTATATTAGGGCTTTGTAAACTAAACAACAGTGCTCATATTTAACTTTCATATTATTGTACCTAACATATAGTTGGAATAGCAAAATTAATTTTGTAATAGAACCTATAAAATTTATAGTGTTATTATGGTTTAAAGAACATTGAAAAATACTTTATTATAATTTGTGTTTATGTCTCCAGGTTCATCATCTTTAGGTTACGGTGCATCTTCGGCTCTGACGCAGTCTTTAGTAGGCGCAGCTAACAGTTCTGCTCCAAGCGCTCTTACAGGCGGAGTTGGTTCATATTACAGCACTGTATATACGTCGGGTGCGCAGCAGACGCAACCGTCATCGCTGCTGCCGCAGACTCTTACCGCGCAGGCATCATCCATGAACGTTATGAAACCGCTGGTGAGGAGATGGAACTTGGTGTTTCGAGATATGCTACTGGTCAAAGGTGGGTAATAGGAAATAGGAAATTAATGGTTATTCTTAGACACACAACTTACATCAAGGTCACGTTTATTTTGTTCAAAATATTACCATAAGTGAAATAGCTACTCTTGGTAACATGTTTTATTCTAAGGCACTATGGATATGACATAAAGCGCATTTTGTTGCAATTAAAATAATAAAATAAAATTAATAAAGTAAAACTAATGTAATTAGAATTCATGATATGTTATTTGGAGGTTAGTGTTCAATCGTTAGCAGTAACTTTAATAAACTATCGTATGAACACCAAATGTATAAATAATTTATTTGCCTAATTCATTTACAACATGGAATATTTATATTATGACTACTTTATTATCACTCCCGGACGGCGCCGATTTCAAAACAATCTACTGTACCGGCTGTAAACTTGATTTCATTGTGTATGTTATGCAATTTGTTTGATAAAAGTTTGTGGTCATTGAAGGACATACATTCATAATATTAATTTATTTTTGATCATTTCATAAAGAATGGTGACGTTCAAAACAATTTCCAAAATGCATAGCTGGTTGATTTTGACATGTTTTACAATAAAATGTTGTTTGCCGCCTTCCTCCTGGTGCTTTTCTGTCAGAACAGACAATACAATCCCTTTTTCTTTCTCTCGCATTTAGAATATGCCACTGATTAGTCAGTATATTTGTTTATTTTTGTGCTGCCATAATGGTTTGTTTCTTCTATTATATTGTCTAATAATCCATTTGTAAAATTTAAAGTAAAATAATCTATTGGATGTCTCATATTGCTTGGTATTTGTATTCAGGGTATTTGTTGTTGTATGTCAAACTCGATTATTGAAAGAGAATCGGCACATTCGCTAATGTCTTTCCACTCTTTATTTAATTTGTCGAACTTCTTCTTCTTTTTGTTGGTTGGATAATATCATCATCACATTCATCACTATTTTCGGTGCGAATAGTGATTTCGCAAAATCTGTCTGTATGAATGCCTATTTGAAACTCATCTACTACTGCTGCATTTACAAAATTTACCAGTCGTTTTGCCATATTTAAAAGCGCTTGGTCGTTTTGCAATATTTAAAAAAAGACTATATAGCAAAGAAAAGGCTAAAAATACTACTAAAATAACTTAAAATTATTTTTCAAATACAACACTGTTTATCACTGCTATAAGTTATTTATTCAACGTTTCGATGCAAACTGAGTCATTGTTTATAAAACAGCTTGTGTCTCACAGAGTATGTTTGTCCACTCAGGTGACAGCCGTCCCCAAAGAGTTAATATTATGACTACATATGTAAAAACTGTATATAACAATACCTCCTGCGCAAATGAATTGCTTTTCAATGGTCTCTTTCAATGATTTTTCCAGAGTTCCAACACCATGCTCACCCGTACCACCAACATGGATGGACGGTTCATCGGCCCTGTATGGTGGTTTGGTAGACAATGCAAATACGACATCCTATTTGGCGAATCGATCGATGAATAGTAGAATCAATCAAATGGAACTGGATTGTGAGTATAGTTATTTAAACAATTGTTTAAATGACCTAGAACAGGATAGCAAGATTTCCTTAGAAATAGCTAACAATAATATAACAGAACAAAATATATAATTTTGTCATTTGTTGCCATTACAAAAGTTATGCCAAGAGGAAATAATTTGCTAATCCAAATATTGTTAAATTTTGCTAGTCTATTTTTTTTGGTCTAAATAGTCTTAAAATAATAATTATAATTAATACAATACGGCTATATTTTGAATTATTTTTTTCTGGCTTTGTCCAATATATTCTTCAACATATTTCATTGGGATAATTTAATACATGATTGATTTTCTTCTAAATATTTCTAACATTTTAATATTTGTTATTTAGCGAGAATTCTGAACGGATCTGGACTTGGAGAACCACAAGTTGATATGTTGGATATTCCAGGCAAAGGTCGATGTTGCGTTTACATAGCTAGATTTTCATACGATCCACCAGAGTAAGTTGGTCCCTAAAATGTAACATTTATTATTTTTAATTCATATAGATACTTAGAACGTTACTAAAACTTTTTTTTAAATTACAATCTGTCACACTTAGGGTATTCAGTAATTGTTTTGACTTTATTATATGGATTTTTGAATTGATGGCAACCCAGTAGTCGTCCAATCCAATTATGACTAAATAACTAAACTCGATAGACTCGATATAAATGCAACTATACCCACAAGATGCGATTTTCACTTGAGGCTATATTTGAGATCTATAACCTTGGAAATTTGACATCAAAGTTGCCTAATCGAAATCTAAAACTTAATACCAATTTATTACCATTTTTTATGAAATTATAAAATTTGCAATCAGTGGCGGATACAGCATTGACGCCAGGAGGGGAGTGTCACATAATTAAATTATGTACAGAACATATATTAGCAATACGATTAGAAAATCCTTAAATTTTAGGAGCCTTTGATTCCGCCGTTCGTCTATAATAAGTCACATATTGAATTTATAGAATGTGTTTGGTAACAAAATACATAAATAAAATCATTATGAAGTAATTTTATTGCTGAATTAGTGTTCTATCTAAGTCTTAAGACAAACTCAGGGAGGGGAGTCATGACCCACTCCCTGGATCCGCCATTGTTTGCAATGTAAGATAAATATAGAAATACACATTATCACATTTCAATATGTTTTCGAATAATAAATAAATAATTTGAATAATTGCGTCGTGTTGAATATATCTAACTTTCCATTTTGTATGAAATATAGTATTACCAAAATATTAAAAAGGCTATTTTATATATCAATATGATTTCAGTGTTGAGGGTGCAGAAGGCGAGTTGGCGCTGTGTGCTGGAGATTATCTTTTGGTCTGGGGTCATGGTGAACCTACTGGAGGATACCTTGATGGAGAATTATTAGATGGCAGACGAGGACTTGTACCGGCACACTTTGTGCAGAGATTAATAGGTCAATAGTTTTGAGATGATAAATTAAAATATAGATAGCAATATGTTTCCAAGAGAAAACAGCCTTTACCATTGGATATTGATGACACGAGCCATCAGTAATAGAATAATGAATCTAATACTAATGAATTTGTCTAATTTAAGTTATACAATATAAAACACTAATACAATTACAAAAATACAGTAAAAATAATGCAACAAACACGAATTGCATAAACACTATTTACCCAGTAAACACCGGGCGGCGGTAGCAATCTGAAGTCCACATAAGTTATACATGGGTGTCACAGCGCCGAAGGAATGCTTGTGGATTTCAGGTTGTTGCCGACGCTCACATCACATGGTGTTTACTGGGTATGGTTTTTCAAAAAAAATGTTTGAAATAAGTAAGTTTTATATAATTAGAAATATCGTTTTATTCTTTTAGGTGACGACTTACTAGAATTCCACCAAGCAGTAGTTTCGACCCTGCGCGAAGCAGATGACGCCCCATGCGAACCTGCTCCTCTGCCTCCTTTGCCGCCACTTTCACAATGTCCACCACTGCCAAGTGCTGGACTTGGCACCTCAGTGGTCCCTCAACTGCCGCCTTGCGATATTACAGGAAGACATCCAGTCGCCGGGCTGGACCAGACGCACATGCCTACCGACCCTGCTGCATCAGGAGCTCAAGATCAGGACGAACTAGATACAGGTAATGAGAATTAGATATTATATTAGAAAAAATGCATGTAAACTAACTTCTGATAAAATGCAGATTTACACCATAAATTCATAGAAATTCTCTTGAATAGATTTAGATTCTCTTGAATATTGAAAATAGTAAATTTGATATAACTTTTTTTAATACTTGAAAACTAACTTCTAATGAAAGAATCAGCAAAAGATAATACATTTTATTATCAAAACAGAGCATAAATTCTAACTTATATTGATTTTATACAAACATTGAAACTATAAATATTTTTTTGATCGGACGATTACTTTGATTGTTGTGTCTATTAAATCAACATTATGCATTAATATTGTAGATTTAGCATATTGATGTGTTAGTAAAATAGTAAATCATTAATAGTTGCAAAAGTTTACTTTAATTTCTCACACACTTTCATGAAACTTAATTGCTTTACAGTATTAATTAGTTTAATATAACATGCACACACTTATCTTGAAAACAATACGACTTATCATATTACTATGAAAAATTTATATTTGGATAACTTTTAATTTAATGTCTGACAAGTGTATTTTTTAATAAGAAATAAAAAAGTTACAATATAAAGGACTAATTATTAACTCAGTTAATTAAATTAGATGTTATCCAAATATTATTCGATTGTTTAATTTCTAATCATTAATTATAAATTGAATGCTTGGAAAACTAACGATAAGGTGATACCTAGAACTATCGCTTTTGCGCTTCATTAGATTTATTATTGAATATCTTACTTTCAGTTTATTTTGTTAAACATATTTAATTCATCAATCATCTGTTCTCGAATTACCCTCTTATTTAATTTTCGTTTTGTTTATTTTTGCACTGCACGTCTCAAAAACACAATAGTATTAGCTTGTAGACCAACGATGTATGATGTTATGATATCGATATATAATGTAAACATGTAATTTATAAAACTTGAAACTGCATTGTTCATTAACAAGTCATTGACTTTGAGTACATAAACAATGGAAAATGTTTAGACTGTAATAAATACTTGGTGTTCATATAACATGGCGCGTCATTGACGAACAATAACACAAAACATTTTGCTTTATTCTGAAATACGACTCCTGTGGAAATTGTATATATATTTTTTTAATCAAATTTTTATCTGTGGAAGATATACATATGAAGTTTTGTAACGTTGACACTGAGCAAAGGTTTCAAATTCGGTTTAAACGCAGATATTTATATGCTAAGGTTATTGTTTAACAATACCGGAAAGAATAAAAAGTATAGAAAATACGGAAAAATTAGTATGAATGGACAATATGATACAGTGGCCATATTTAAAAATTGGCTAGTTTTAGTGACGTTTTTGCGACTGTATAAGAAAGCCTTAATCGCAATCCTGTCAGATGTAGAACGTCATTGTCACACTTGGAGTAATCAGTTCAAACGTGTATCGCGCTTTCAAAAGTTTATTTTAAGGGTGCTTTTTTGATTTTTTTGACCTCTTTATTGTTATTTATAATAATTTCTATTCAAATCAATAAACTTATGTCAGTACTAATGAATCTATCATTTTTATTGTAATGGTCATATGTTTGGTGGCATTTTGATAATTTATTTATTTTAATTCACTTTCGGACAAAATGACATACTTGTACAATACAATGTACACAATGACATAGTACTATTTTGCAAGAACTAAAGGATGGTTCATTAGAGGCCAAAAAATACTAAATACAAGTACACAATGACATAGTACTATTTTGCAAGAACTACAGGATGGTTCATTCTAGGCCAAGAAAAAAAAATTGAAACCTGCCTAATGTGAATGACCCCTAACTTTTACTTTAACTAAATTTACCAAAAATTCTACCAGTAATATTAATAATTTTGCATTTATTGCAAGCTCCCCTTTTTTGTTCTGAGCCCATCGAAGATTTATTTCGATATATAATTTGTACCCTTTGGTGTCATGCGTTATATGCTAATGTTTCAAAGAAGCCCAAACGATTTTTCAGTATATTTTTTTACCCCTTATGTCATTTTGTCTACACTATATGGACAAAATAGTTTTTAGGATTTGTTACCTTCTTCTTTAATAAATATGTTATTATAGTTCCTTCTTGATTATCCCAGTAAAAGACTTCCTAGTAAAAGACAATATTACTGGCAGTAATTACTCACTTACTCAATAAAAGATTATGTCAATACATCTAAGATGAGTAAAAATGATCGAGACTAATTTAATAATTCAATAAATAAATATAATGAAAATTCAATAAATAAATATCATGAAAAAACAAGATACCATGTCATTTTGTCCGTGCATACCTAGCTACTATTTTCAATCATATAAGATTTAGATTTTGAACATATAAACTTTTTATAAAAGAAAATTTCATTTATAATTTCAAATTCTAATAATCACTAATTTAATACTTATGTTATTCTTAACAAATATAATTATATTGAGGTACACTTGCTACACAAATTGAATAAATTAATTTATTGACTCTATTAACATAGAATTTACTTTCAAAGTGGTATTTAAATTTTGATTGGCTGTTTAATTTTTAAACAATTATTAATCATGCAATTCAAAATAGTTTTGCATCGGCATAAAAAAAAATTGAACTCAAAATCGTAAATTAAAAAATTATTTAGCTAATTCTCAAAATGAGTGACAATTATTTCATTCATATATTTTTACTAGATATTTATATTATTTTACAAATATTTGAAAAATTATTGAAATATTTATTTGACGTTTCGCCGATATGGTATGTCTCTTTCTTCAGGAACTATTTAAAACAAATAATTTGTTTTTCTGATCAATTATACGCTTTTTAAATATTTGAAAATTAAAGAAATTCACTTTTTGCATTTAAATGTTTGAAACCAAAAGTTTTCTAATATGAAAACTCTAAAGCTTAAACTAAAAAAATTAGAACTACTTCAATTATATATAAAAACACACACACATATGTATATTAGGGTGGTCCTTAATATGGGCATTTTCGAATTTCCTTGCTCCTAAGGGCAAATTGATAAAAAAACAATTCTCTGAAAGATTTAGCTCTTAATATTGTCTTTTAGATAGAGCGCAATTTAATCAAAGTTTTGTATGAAAATAGCATGAAAATGTTAAAAATTTTGCAGAGCGTTGAATTTTCAATAAAAAATGACACAAATTTTCACTTTTAATTCATTTGTCGCTAAGTTATACCTAAAAATTTTTTTTTTTAATTTTCAAAATTTTTTTCATGCAATTTCCATACGAAGTTTGATTGAATTGCGCACTATCTAAAAGTTACTATTAAGAGCTAAAACTTTCAGAGAATTGTTTTTTATCAATTTGGAACCATTTGAGCCCTTGGGAGCAAGGAAATTCGAAAATGTCCATATCAAGGACCACCCCAATATATATATGTGTGTGTGCATTATATATGTTAGTACGTCCTCATTACTAATAACACTGATGTAACTACTAACATATAATGCGAAAGCTCTCACTAATATTTCCACAGTCGTCCGCATACAATGTTAGGCGGCCATGTGCACACACGCAATAAGGTCCTTGGCGGGAACTCCGGTGGCACAATTGATTTTCTATATTTTTGGAATACATCCAAGTTCCCGTCGACTCCAGAACTGGTTTTCTTATACATCGTCCGCACAATTGTTTTTAGTCGATTTTGCGATTTTCCAAGTCAGATTATAATATTACATCGTCGCACTAACTTTGCCAGTTATCGCAACCGTTATCACGAGGATCTGTCGTACCCAAACTTGGGATCAAATTCGTAATCTTCGCGTTCTTGGAGACGAGTGTGATAATATTTGTTAAGAATCGTGATTATGACATATTTTATTTTATTATTTTTTATATCAACAGTTTAGTGTTTTTTATGTTAAATGTTATAATTCCGGCGTTTTGAATCGAAACAGTGCGCGGATTAATTTACTTAGTCGTTGGTTTTCCGAGTATGTACTGACTAGTGTTGCCAAGGTTTAATCGTATGACCTACATGGGAAACCTCAAGGAAATTATATGTGCGTCAATGCTGAATTTTGACAAATGAGTGTTCGCTAACGCAGTAATGTGCTCCTTTTGCCAAAAACTCTTTAACGACTCAATGAATTTTTTGTGCTTGTATAAATGTATCTTAAAAATTGTTCCTTGTAAAATATTTTCATGATGCAAACTGGTGGAGCACGTAAAATATATATTTTTCTACTGATAATGTTGACATTTGCAGTTTATTTATGAAAATCAAGATGAAATAGTAAAGTGTGGGTATTATGGCTCTTAATCCGCCCGAGGCGGGTACGTATTTTATAAAATTATTAGAAGAAAACATTCATCCATACACACTATGCACGCGTTTTCATATCAATTTTTGAGATATTTTGATTAAAACATTTTGAAATCATTTAAAATTTCGTTAAAACACATTTGCAATTGCACTACTAAAATTACTAAAACCTGATATGCCTAAAGTCATCTAATTATTACATAATTGTTAAGATAATTGATATTGATCATTTAATAATTTCACCACATTTCTATCACAATACTCAAAAAGGCAAAATAATTTACCCTAAAATTATTGGATCACCATTATTGTAGCGTATTATATGCTATATAATAAAGTTATTATAAGTATTTTGCGTTTTTACATTCATGTCATATAATCAGCACCGTCACAAATATAATCGTGAGAAATATGTTTTACAAAGGCACATAACATAAAATTATTTTGTTACCATTTTGTAGATCATAAAAGCAGTTACTAAGTTACTGGCACAAAACAAATCATATTTTAAAGGATTTGTTTATTTTTTTATAGCGATCATTATTCAATGAGTTTCAATGCTAGAAAAATATTATATAAATGTTGAAATAATTGTTTGAACTTTAATTAATTGATTATTTGTTGGCAACACTTAGCAGTATATTTTATGTTCAAAAACGTTCTCGCCATACAAGGTAGAATCTTTATCATGTGTACAAAATACTAACTACAATTGTCATTTTTTTAAAATTATGATTATATCATGAAGTTCAGTCCTAAAAATAAGTTAAGTGTAGCTTTTATTAAGTTATTTTGTTTAATATTTTTGTACAAACCGAAATTGTGATTGCTATTCTGCCTACTATTTGTAGATCCATAATACTCTTCATATAGCAATCACATACACAGAATGTCATTATGAATATCAGATTCTAAAATTAAGAAAAAACCTATCTTATACTTTAACTTCCGTAATCATAAAATTAATCATAATCACACACATTTTAAAGAAATAGCTTCTATAAAATAACACAGGTCCACAAGTTGTCTGTATTGGGTATTAAAACATGTATTTTCCTATGTACTTTTTAATGCTGAACATGAATCTGAAGTCAAAATTGAGGGTCACGCTGCAAAAAAACAAAACCTTATAAAAAATAACAACAAAATCTTTGATCCAGTGATTCTTCTGCATGATAATTAAAATCTTATAATTTATGTTGCTTCCTGGCCTTCCTTTCTACAAATGCTCTATGAAACGGATTTCTCCATAGCTTATTGTTTTTGAGTTTCTTTTTGTAGAATCCTTTTTTTAACTATATATATATATATATATTTGGTAATCTATCTACATAAGATATGTAACCAATTGTACATGGTACGGAGTAGAATAAAAACTAAGAACTGCATCCGTTGATGTAGTTTTTCACAGTGTTGAGATATAGATTGTCAAATAGACTATATAGAACATTTTCAGACTATCTACAACGTTTCTAGACTACCTAAAACGTTTACAGCCAATGTAAAATAGCTTTTCAGACTATCTACAATAATTTAGGACTATCTACAATATTTTTAGACTATCTAGCATATTTTTATATCATCTAGAACATTTTTATACTATCTGTAACGTTTTCAGAAGTTTATTTTTAATAAACAAAACACTTTCAGACTACCTACAACGCTTTCAGACTATCTAGAACATTTTCAGACTATCTACTGCGTTTTCAGACAATCCACTATATTTTCAAAAAATCTACTACGTTTTCAGATTATCTACTATGTTTTTTAAACTATCTACTACGTTTTCACACTATCTAGAATATTTTCAGACTTTCTGAAACAATTTTAGACTATATATATGAATATGGGAAAACAGAAGATTGTCTTTTATATTTTTTTTCAATCTTTTAAGAAGTTTTTGTTTTAGCAGCTTCCTTGCAAAGATATTTGGGTGGGCAGCCCGTTTTGGTGTTTATGACTATGCCAGCAGCAATCTAAAAACATATTTATTTTTGATTGCCCCTGAGTAATCTGCAAACACATTTACAAATATATTTGGAGATATATTTGCAGATTTCTGCTGGATTCTACAACAAGATGCTCAATAAAAAAAGAAAAAAAAGAGTGCAGAAATTCGTAAATATTGAGGTAAAAAAGCCAGGGCCAATTAGTAGATCGGAGATTTTGTTATTTTTTAATTTTTGATCGTTTATTAGGATATATTTTTCAATATTCTGAGAAATATTTGTCCTAGCAGCTTTCTTTCAAGGATGTTTGGGTGGTAGATGAGCTTGCTTTGGTACTTATGACTATGCCAGCAGCAAACTGATAATATATATTTTTGATTGCCTCTGAGTAATCTGCAAACACATTTGCAGATATATTTGCAAATTTCTGCTAAATTCTACAAAAATATGCACAATAAAATAAAAACGTTGCAGAAATCAGTAGTTCATTTAAGGTAAAAAAGCCAGGGCCATTTGTAGATCCGAAATTTTGATTTTTTTAAATTTTTGATTGTTTGCAGTTTGACCCCTAATTTTGACTCTAGATTCGTATTTAGTGTTAAAAAGTACATAGAAAACATATATCGCACACCCAATAAGATGACCTTTTTTTACTTTGCGGACCTGTGTAATTAACAATTAGTAACAAACCTCGTGTCCAATTTAATTCCATCATTCCTCATTATCTGTATGGCGAGACGCTTCCGCAAATCGTTCAATCCATGTTTCCGTCTAAATTCGCGCCATACTTCACGTCATTCGCGTATTGGTGACCACAGCGTCAACGGCGCGCCATGTTCACGACGATGCATCATCATGCACTGACGTGATGTTCTCGGTGCTAGTGCCTGCTCCTCGACACCTAACACTGGAGCGGCAGCTGAACAAGAGCGTCCTGATCGGATGGAGCGCACCAGATCCACCAGGATCCGCGCAGGTCGACAGCTACCACGTGTACGTGGACGGCGTGCTCAAGGTCACGGTGAAGGCGAGCGAGAGGACCAGGGCGCTGGTGGAAGGAGTCGATAGTAATAGAGTGAGTTGGAAGATGGTTTATTTGTTTTAAAGAGCAATTCGCAGCATTTGAATTTGTGCATTTTTTATATGTATATGCATACGAAAAATCGCATGTCTTACCGAAATTTTAATACTTGTTTTTTATGATAGTTTAAAAGAAAACAAAAAAAAACAATATTATAATTTATTTATTTCATATATACAAGTAATGTATATAATATAATCCACAATAACGTTTTATTAAATTTAAAAATCACTTTCATAATCAGTTGAATTTTGTCCCTGCACTTGATCATATTTATTTTCAACAGTATCATAAACCAAATATGCTATTATAGTTTGGGGTAAGATTATTATTATTATTATTATTTTTATTATCTCTTTTATTTACAACTGTCCAGTAAAGGACATTCAATAAATTTGATGAATTTACAATAGTCGGCCGAAAAGGGACTATGATGGTGTTTTTACGAATTTATCTCAGGGTATTTGGTAACCCCTGAAATACTACTCTTGAAAATGCCTTTGGTTACAAATGGGGATACAGTGTATGAAACTAATATTAGAATTTTGTAGAATTTTCCAAAATATTTACCCATTGACTACTAACATAATTACTACTTATTATTCCAAATATTGTGAAAACTTGCTTATTTTCATTTATTTATTTATTGTAATGGCATCTAACATAAATCATATTGTCAACTCTTGATACACAAAAAAAAAACTATTTACAGTAATATATCATATCAATACATATAATTACATATATACCAAATAAATACAATTTTATAAATAATGTATCTAAACTATTCTCATTAAGAATTTCGTTTATAATACTATATATTCTTTCAAAATTATTTATGAGTAATTGTTGCATGTTAGTGGGAAACTTAAAATTCTCTTTTTAAAGCTAATCATATTTTTTTCGTGCAAGGGCAACTCAAAAAATGTGGTAATGAGATTCTTCTTCGTGTCCACATATGTATATCGGAGAGTTGATTAAATTAATTTTGTTCAGATGTTTTTTGAATCTCGTAGCCTAGTCCAATTCTACAGATACTCTGATTTTACTCACTTGTTTTGTTACTCCTAATTAGTTACTTTTATATCACAAATATACACATGACTCTTTACTTCAACATTCTTGCTTGGCAAATTGTCATATATTTTTATTTCATTAACCTTATTTCAATTAATTTTCTTTGTTGGTAATATATTTTCAAAATATATTTTGAAGCCCTTTCCGGGCATTTCTGCATCTAATTAAATAATCTATGGCCACTATTATGTTAATTATAATAATTAAATAATTTCATTTGAAACTTGAAAACTTTTTATAACAACACTTTTAGGTATATAGTAACTTAATAGTAAAAAAATGGCTGGTGCACATTATAGTTTATAAGGAAAAATTTCGATTAAGTTATTATTTTTTGTTTATGTAATTTAGAACAAATAATAATCATATTAAGGAACTTATCCTGAAAGCATCTCTGTAATTAATTAAATAATATATTGTGATCACTATTATATTAAATCTAGTAATAAACTAAAAATGATCTATCAAATATAGATAGATCAACCTTTGGGTTGCCATCTAAATAATGACGTAAATGGAGAAGTTTGAACACAACAGCTCATAGGACAAAAATTCTTGTTTTTTTTTAAAAAAAAAAAAGAAAATATATAAAAAAAATTACATACATTACCTATGAGTTGTTGTTTTTTTGAACTATATATTATCTAAAAATCTACAAACTAAATCCCTAATCGCATATATATTAATATATTAAGGTGACTATATTTCTATGCTAAAACCAGGATGGCAACTTAGAGTAAGAGTAATCCAGGACGATGAGGAGGGGGGTGTTCAAATTTAAATATGATTAAAGATAACTAATAATATTTTTTGCATAAAATAAAAATTTAGGCTTTTAAATTCTCAATTTTCTATTTTCTTCATAATTAACTTACTTACCTTCAAATTGAATTATGCTGCATAATTAATAAAATTTAGGACTTTGACCAGGTAGTTGCGTTTGACCAGGCAATCAAAAAGTTTGTCCTCAGAATTTGTGCATTCATAAAAATTTAAAATTAGAAATGTGAGGAGTTGTTGTAACTTACCTTAGGATTTTTCATATGACAATTTTCTCTGGGGTATAACATTTTCAGATATTTGATGAGCAGTTATAATTTTATTATCAAGTAATAACGATGATTCAATTTGAACCTTTATTTTTCAAAAACCTGGAAAGATCCCGGACAAATATTGCATTTAGAAAAATTCTGTCCTGTCCTGTCCTGGGACTGTCCAAACCGGGACGTATGGTTACCTTATTATCATAAATATTAATATATGCTTTTGATTTTAATATAAGTTTTGCACATACACAAACAATATAATATAATTACCGTGGCAACTTATTTTCCTTCCTTATCAAGCGTGATATCAAAAAGTCACATGAAACTACAATATATAATTAATCATTTATCAACTAATCCAAGTGATATTATTTTTATAGCCGCATCGAATAAGTGTCCGTTCAGTGACCGTCAATCGGCGAACATCACGCGATGCCGCTTGTACTATGGTAATAGGGCGGGATACTGCCCATTTGGGACCCAGCAGCGTGCGTGCCCACCACGTTACTTGTTCACAGGTAAAATCGTGACAATTATTCAAATAATAGTTCTTTTACGCGTTACACACGCAATTATCACAGTCAGTTAATCTTATAACTTGTATGGATTATAATTTGAAATTTCAGGCTGTAATAACATGGCTACCCGCAAACTCAAACCATCAGCACGTGGTATGCGTGAATAATGTAGAAGTACGTACTTTGAAACCCGGAGTTTATAGGCATACAATCACAGGTAAGAAATTGATACGCATATATATTTTTTATTTGTGCGTGCTTTCCACCAATTGTTTCTGAAGTGAAATGATATCTATGCATTGCATTTCTATTTTACGTACAAATTTTCAATTATTCGAATCCAACTTACAATTATTCTGTGTTAGTCTTTCCTATTATTATATAATATATTCCTATTTCTATTATTATATATATAAATATATATATATATATATATATACATGTATATATATATATATATATATATATATAAACTATTGACATCTAACCTAATGTTACTGAATAGTAGGGTTTATACAAAAACCGACATTTCAAAAAACCGGTTTTCGAATTTTAATTTTACTAAAAAACCGGTTTTAACTAGTTTTCGAATTTTATATAGAAAATAAATTTTTGCTCGAATATTCTGTAACTTATCCGCAAATGTAGTGAAATTTAGAGCAGTAGTGCAGTAAACGGAGAGGAAAAAAGGGTATAACCTCTGAATTTTTTTACTGTGCTCCGAATTGAATGAAATTTTGGAATTAGGTTCATCTTACCCTCAAGTTTAAAAGTGAAAACAATTCGGGTTGCGCCATCACCCCCCGGGGGGATGACACCCCCTCTCAATTGTGTAATTATATTTTTTCAAAATAACGTCGGAAATCGATAGAAAAACTAATTATAAGAATAAAATGTCTCTTATAGTTTTTCAAAAAAACTAATACTTTTCAAGTTACAGGCCACTAAAGATTCATATATTTTTGGCGCTTTCCTTCGTTTTTTTGCAAATATCTCCTAAAATATACATTTTAACAAAAATCATGTGATGGACAAAATAATGTCAATAAAAATCTTAATAAATCGGTATTACATAAAGTGTTCTAGGAAAAATATTAAGCAAGATTTGAAAGAGCAAAGTCGTTTTTTATTTCGTTCAAGATTCAATTGTTGTATTTAAAGCCATCTAGTGTCGAGGTTTTACATTTTATGCATTTCGGTGAAATTGGGTTTTATAGTGCTCAACATAAGCTTTAAAATGAGTGCTGTTACAAGTTTTTTGCGTGTAAAATGAGTGAGCTATCATGCAAATAAGAAGCATATACGAAGTTTTTTTCTTTTAAATCATATGGTTTAATGAGCGCCATTTCCACCAGAATTACAGTAATTCACATTCCATCTAGAATTCACTTTATTATAGACATCTTGATGGATTCTAGCAGATTCACTACTTCAGTACAAACTATTTTCAGAAAACTCACGATTTTATAAAAACTTTTTTTCTGATTTTTTTGAAAATCGAAATTATTTTCATTATATCTCAAAAAGAATAAAAGATACGTATAAAAGCATATAGATAAGAATCAAAGGGATCTTTCTGGCTTATTATTGTTTTTTATAATTTTTATTTTACACAAAAATTGACAGTTATGAATGTTTAAAGACTGCGCGGTCGCGCAAATTGGAAAAAAAAGTTTTTATAAAATTGTGAGTTTTCTGAAAATAGTTTGTACTGAAGTAGTGAATCTGCTAGAATCCATCAAGATGTCTATAATAAAGTGAATTCTAGATGGAATGTGAATTACTGTAATTCTGGTGGAAATGGCGCTCATTAAACCATATGATTTAAAAGAAAAAAACTTCGTATATGCTTCTTATTTGCATGATAGCTCACTCATTTTACACGCAAAAAACTTGTAACAGCACTCATTTTAAAGCTTATGTTGAGCACTATAAAACCCAATTTCACCGAAATGCATAAAATGTAAAACTTCGACACTAGATGGCTTTGAATACAACAATTAAATCTTGAACGAAATAAAAAACGACTTTGCTCTTTCAAATCTTGCTTAATATTTTTCCTAGAACACTTTATGTAATACCGATTTATTAAGATTTTTATTGACATTATTTTGTTCATTACATGATTTTCGTTAAAATGTATATTTTAGGAGATATTTGCAAAAAAACGAAGGAAAGCGCCAAAAATATATGAATCTTTAGTGGCCTATAACTTGAAAAGTATTAGTTTTTTTTGAAAAACTATAAGAGACATTTTATTGTTATAATTAGTTCTTCTATCGATTTCCGACGTTATTTTGAAAAAATGTAATTACACAATTGAGAGGGGGTGTCATCCCCCCCGGGGGGTGATGGCGCAACCCGAATTGTTTTCACTTTTAAACTTGAGGGTAAGATGAACCTAATTCCAAAATTTCATTCAATTCGGAGCACAGTAAAAAAATTCAGACCTAAAACGCTCCGTTTACTGCACTACAGTATTTGACTGAATTTATAAATTGTTCAATTTTATAAATAGTAAACAAAATTATTTTAATTTTAATTAGTAGAAATAAACAATAATAGTTTATCTTGATTAAATAACTTTGAAAATAATTTTTCGTTATTCATGCATCATTTTCCTATATAAGAATGAAAATATTTTTATGATGGTGAAAGGAAAGTTTTCGAATAAATAAAAATAATACATTTTTTAATAAAAAAATGCATTAAATTAAAAAAAAAGAAATATTAGAAACATGTTGATACATACTTGCTAGTATCAATTTTAATTTTAAAAACAATTAAGCTAATATATAAACTTGGATATTGTCTGTTTCGAACAATTTTAATTAATTAATTTTAAACATTCTAATTGTTTTTTTGTTTAAGAAAATATGATTTCAAAAAACTGAGTCGTCTATCGAATTGTTACTTAGATATGCCCTTTGATTACTCACAAAATTTTCTAAAATAGAAAATACTCTCATACTTGCGACCAAATTATGCTTAATTGTTTTTAAAGCCTGTAATAATAATTCTAAGCTTTTTGTTCTTTTATTTGTGGCATCTCTTCAAACTCTTTTTTTAAGTTTGAGTAGAGGAAGTTACTTCTCCAAGAATAAGTCACACTGATTTAAATTAGTATATATACTGGTATAAAAATCTAAATAAGTATATACAAAACCTTTCTGGGAACCATTGCAGACTAATAAAATATCAAATGCTATTGAACCGATATGATTTCAAGAATCAAAACGCTTTCATCTATCTTTTATATTTGGCTAGATTTGTCATTTTCCATTTATACAGTGAAAACCGACTTTTTTCACTTAAAAATCGGTTTTCAAATTCCATAATTTTCGCAAAAAAACGGTTTTTAAAACCGGTTTTTGAAACCGACAAACCCCACTGAATAGCAAAATACTTATTACTTTTCTTAACTTTATGCTAATTTTATATTCACATATATGTACAACAAAGATGTATAATATATTTTATGTCCGTAAAAAGGTCTCTCACCAAGTACACAATATCGGGTCACTGTACGAGCAAAACATTTACGAGCACCAGGTCAAGGACCACCACCTGCGCCTCCACCAGAAGAAGCTCCTGGAGCTTATACAGACTTTAGGACGCTTGCTAAAGGGCTGCCAGACCCACCTCAAGTGAGTTTCGAAATTGATTGATATTTACTATTGATTTACTTCTCAATTTTGTGCCAACATACGTATCTTACTACAAATAAAATTAATTTTATTTTTCTCTGAAGGATATTCTCGTGGAAGCTGGTCCACAGGATGGTACATTGTTAGTTACATGGCAACCTGTAACACGTCCGCCGTCTTCCGGACCAGTGACTGGTTATGCAGTTTATGCTGATGGCAAAAAAGTTACCGATGTAGATTCACCTACTGGAGACCATGCTCTGATAGATATCGGTAAATTGATGGGTCTGAATCCGAGAGCTGTTACTGTTAGAACCAAATCTCGCGATAGCCAATCTGCTGATAGCACACCTACGCCTATACCAGGTCAGATCATAGATTTACTTGATATATTTACTTAGAAATTAAAATCTATAACTTCATACGATTCAAATGTCGTCACCTTTCTGAATGTATTATCATCTATCCCTGGATATGCTCTGGTTAATTTTATAATTATATGTTCCACCTGTAGGTGTAGTACGAGCAAGTGCAGCAAACAGAGCACAAAGGGCGCCACATTCTGGAATGCCTCCTCATATGCGCCAACACCAGCAGCAACAGCAACAGCGTACTGGTATGCAGCAACATCAACAGCAGCAAGTTATTGAACATGACGAGAACCTCAGCGATAAAGAAATTTTTCCGATGCATCAGGTATGGAGAAATTAAGTTTAAAATCAATTTTTGACGAAAGGATTTAATTGTAATATATAAAAAAAATTTAATCTAGTGCATCCTTTTTGTTGAATATTTATATAATAATCTTTTGTCACAGCATATAAAGTTATTCTAATACATTTGGTTAATATCCTTAAATTTAAAGATGATTTTTGAAGATTATCAATATGCCCTTTTCAATATATAGATGCATATATGTATATATGTATATATGTATATATGTATATATATATTAATATATATATATATATATATATATAATTTGAAAATTTTGCTATTGGAAAATTGTATTCAAATTTTACTTCGGACCGATATTTATAAAATTTTTGTCATTATTTTAGCATGCATTGATTAGTATTTTAGATTTCTGTATGCTTGCTTAAAACTAGATTATGGTTCGATAATTTCAATCAACTAGAGAATTTTAAACTAAATATAACTTGAATATGTTTAATATGAATAACTTATTGGTGTTGAAAATTGATATTAAATATTATTTGGAATATAATTTGCCGTAGAAACATGGGTTTAATTAATATTATGCAATATGCAAATTAATCAATATCATCCTGGAATGGCAATATACCCTGTAGATTAGCTTAGTCTATCATAATGTTCATTACTTCCGCCATAAAGCAACACGGTTCATCAATACCTGCCATCGAGATCACAAAAGAAGCCATGATGCACGGTCAACAGGGACTGGACCAGCCTTATTCGGAAGATGATTATCAGGATCCTAGAAGAAGAGGTGGCCAAACACAACAGCAGTCTGGACAATACCAAAATCCGCCTCCAAGAAATCACACGGAACGTGGAAGGCCTCCTAATCCCACATCAGTAAGTTGGTTTATAGAAAGTTAGATAGCAAGGAGCAGGTACGCTTCAAAGGCAAAACGCAATAACATGCTTCCACTCATTGAAATGCATCAACGTACCCATGTCACAAAATTACATCAAAATTTACATATGACAAAATCATGTACTGAACATATATAAACTGATCGTAGTGAATGGAGTAGTCATAGAAAGTAGAAATAGAAACTTGAAAATATGATAAAGCATGAAAAATTTGAAATATATTGATTATTTGAGGAACTTAGTTTTTGTATATACGTATATATATTTATATAGTTATCAATTTTTTGATATTTTTATTTTATATCAATTACAAAGGACCCCTCGTCATACCTAAGTGTATTGGCGCTGGTCCTTTGAGAGGTCAGCAATACAAAATTTCAAATTTTTAAATAATAGATAATTGGCTAAACTTTTCACCTACTTTTATTAAATTATTTTCAAATGATTATTAATTTAAGTAAAATGATTTTTTACAGGGTAATCAGCCAGGCAACACTGCGCAAACTGGTTATTATGGACAAACTGCGGTTGGACGCCAAGCAACAAACACTAGGCCACAACAAGGAAGAGGAATGCAACAAGGAGCTGCCAATAAACGCCCCAGATGGTAATTATTAGGACCATTCATTAAATATATAATTAATTATTATTTTCGAACCCATATGGTATAAGTATCAAAATAAATTTAATACTTTAAAAACAAATTATTTTTCAGGTTTGTTGCATTATTCGATTATGATCCAACAACGATGAGTCCTAATCCTGACGCATGTGATGAGGAACTGCCATTTAGTGAAGGTGAAACTATAAAGGTCAGTGATAATAATAATTATTTACATCAATTAAATGTAGTAGTTGTACGCTAGAGATGGGTAACTCACTCTGGAGTTATCACTCCGATCCAACTCCTCCCTCGGAGTGAATCCGAGTGGAGTTGTCTCGTCGGATTTGTCATATCCGACTTCTCTAAACTGGTACTAAATCTGTTACTGCGTTTTTGCTTTGGGAACGAAGCTGTCGCTTTCTCGTCTCACAGGCAGTTTTATGACCTTTTAGGTATACGGTTTTTTCCAGAAAATACAAAAATAGTACTTCAAAGATACAGAACGATGAAATTGTGTTCAAGAATAGCTTCAATGTATAATTTATTGAATAGTAAAGGGTCATATTTCTAACTACGACAATCTTTGGCCATGAATAACGGCAATTAGGAATATACATACCGAAAAATACACGAAACAAAATACATTTAATCTGACTTTTCCATAGCCTCAAATAACAATACTTTAGAGTGCAAAATATATCAGTGACGTCAATAGTATTTAAGCAGCAAAAAATATATAGTATTAAATTTTGACTTTTACACAATTATACAATTATGAACAACGCACTATAGAACACATTTGTGTCAAGTATTTCGGTTTCAAAGTCGTCGGAGTCGTGGAGTTGTTAAACGGATATAACTGCTCCTTGAAGCGGAGTCAAATCCGAGTAGATCCGACTTCAGATATAATTAGCCCGTCTCTATTGTACGCCATAAATATCAAAATTGCAAAATTATAAAGATAATTCTTTATCGATGTATTAATAAGTCCATTACCTTTTAGGTTTGGGGCGACAAAGATGCTGACGGATTCTATTGGGGAGAAGCTAGAGGTCGAGCCGGTTTTGTTCCGCACAATATGGTAGCAGAGGTAGAAGAAGGTTCAATGGCCGCTTTGGGAGCTGCTGGAGTTGGTTCTTCTGGTGTAGTCCAGAGTGGCACAACCGGTTCAGGACCTGCCCAGGTTGGCACGGGGACTAATGTCCGAGGTGTACCACGTGATCGTTGGGGAGATATATATGCAAACGTGCCAGTTAAACGCATGGTTGCTATGTATGACTACGATCCTCAAGAGCTGAGTCCAAACGTTGATGCCGATGTGAGTGTCTAATAAAAATTTATTAACATCTTTATAGTAAAAATTAAAAAGATAATACACATTCCATCTAATAACTATTTTATAGTAATTATGCTGAAGCGGTAGTTACTTACAACTTATAAGTATTTGCTAGTACTTTTTTTTTTTGAATGATAGCGATTATCAATAAGTTATTACTTTATAAGTTACTACTTTATATAATTTACGCAGTAGATAAATTATATTTGATCATTTATAGAAATAAATCTCTACCCCAATTCGAATTTGCGTTTACTGCAGGTGGAGTTAAGTTTCCAAACTGGTGCCGTTATCTTGGTGTATGGTGATATGGATGAAGATGGTTTTTACATGGGAGAATTGGATGGACATCGTGGTCTGGTACCATCCAACTTTTTGACAGAAGCGGCAGATCAGTATGGCACCCAACTTGGTCAACAACAACAACAAGGAAATCCGGGTAAGTAGATATAATCATATTATTTTATATATATATATATATATATATATATATATATATATATTTATATTTAATTTATAAAATATAATTTGATTGGATCAATTCATTATAAAATGGGTAATAACAATAATTTTGAAAACAATTTCATATTTTTTTAAAATAAATAAATTTAAAACTAGTGGTGTATGGCATCGTTCCTTAAGAAGAATTGCTGTAACTTTCCGTATTGTAACGACATGTGCGATAAATATTCTCTAAATCAACAATCTTAGGAAAGGTTATTTGAATCCATATTTTTCAAAAACTTGGGACAATCCAGGAAACAAAAATTGATTTCGGTGCAAATATGGCTTCTAAAATAATCCTATTTATTTTTAATTAGTAGGTGGTAATTCGGGATTGTCTCGGTCAATTTACCACACCAGCTTATCTTGATTTTAAAGATATTAAAAAAATATTAAAAAAAAGAGTGCGCGTAGGGTTCACACGCGATTGAAGTAAAACGTTTTTGCTATTGTACGAGATGGCATTTAAGTTAAAAATAAATACATCATATAACAATTTTGAATTATGTTTCTTATTAATTTGTTAATACTAATGATGCGTACATTCATTAATGTCAAACATATTATATAATAATAAATTATACATTTTATATTTATAATAGCATTAAAATATTTGTAATATTAAAAAAAACAATAATGTAATTAAAGTCGTACTTCAAATATGACATGATCGGTTTGTCATGGTAATTGGCATTTAAGACTTGAACCTTCATTAGAGATTTGAAGTAATAGCTGATTAATAAATTCTATAATAATCGTTCACACAGTGGATTATAATTGTTAAAAAAAGCCTAAACAAATATTGTTTTCGCAACTTCACTCATCATGTAATTGTGTTTGAAGAACTTCATGTAATTAACATTAACATACATTCATTGGCTGTTATTTTTTTTTTATTTTTTCGTTGGCGATATAATCTCATTCTTTGAACAGCTGTAATATCTGTCTTGCCTATAAAAATATTTTCCATTTTAATAACTTCAAAAATTTATAAAACCTACGAATAATATAGAAATAATTTAATAATCTAATCAATAAACTTACGTTTAGTACACGGCACAAGTATTTAATTTGTTTTATTATTTTCAAGGAACAGGGTAAAATATTCTTCTGATTCTGGCATTTTTCATTACTTTAAGATTTGTATTACGATGTAACTTTAAAATGTTTATTTATCTATGCCGATTTCCTTGTTGGTATCGGTACGCATACAACGTTGATGCCGGTACGCATACAACGACAGATCTCTATTCACATACACGACGACTAATCACAATCGACCCGTATAGAAATGATTTCATCGAGAGCAAATGACGTAGAGTTCGGGCGTAACGCAACTTCCGTTGCATTTGCACAGATTTACTCTCTAGTCGCGCCTAAAAAAGTTTTACTTTAAAAATATAATTATAACAAATGCAATACTTACTTTCATAATTTATTTATAGGCGGTTCTCAATTGAACCGTGGTACAGGATCAACACGGCAGACGCGCGGTCTGGGGCCCGGAGCCCGCGGACCGCCGCCTCCGCCGCGGGACAACATGAATGCACCGCGAACGCCCGGAGCTACACGTAAAGGTGAGTCCTGGCGCTTACATTTCTCTGTATGATCGGTCATATTGATTTGTATCTGTGTATGTGTGTCGGTGTGCGGATTGATATACGTTTGCTATTTGAAATGTGCCAGAAAAAATATTATTCATAAATAAATTCTTAATCATAATAAACTTATGTGGAACAATGTCTGCTATTTATTTTTTTTTCTGGTACATGTCAAAAGTAACGTTCAATGTCATTATTATAAATAATATATGTGTGAAAACTTTTAAATGTTATTGGTTTACTTTTTGAATTAAATTTATGTAGAGCAATTATACATTCGATTTTAAGTCAGCTGCATATATATTTACATGTCTATGCTTCTATCTTTGTAATAAAATCTTTTGGTATTACTACTATATTTATCTACATGCTAAAATCACACATATCAGAAAAATTCTTATGAAGTATCAATTTATACATTTTAAAATCTCTATTTCAAATTCTCAGACCAATCCATAACGCTAATAACATTATAGATACATTTGAATTTATAACGTCGTATAAGAACATATAATCATATTTAAATTTGAACAAATTTTTGATACTAATATGTTTGCGCAATGCACTATCATTGCTTTTTCGATGTAACACGTGTTTTAAAAATCCTTCTTTTTCAGGCTAACATCCTCTATCCTTCTAAATGTTCCAACATATTTCACTTCTCTGTGCCACATGACTAGTATAAAGAACCACTTTTATTTACTAATAAACCCCTTGCTTAAAAATATATTAATTGATTCAGAATTAAATATTTTATATTAAACGATGTTAAACTGAAAACGTAAAGTTTTAGTATTTTATATACATTCATGTGGTTCAAATATTTTTTTCCTCCATTTCCGTTGTCTGCGTACGAACACCTACATTTTTCTTCACAGCTATTCTGGGCTTTCTATGTGCTAGATGTGCTCTGCCAAGATTTTCTCTTGGTCTTCACTAAACACAAAACACGACATTACCAACCAAGACACGTCCGTGCCATTTATAAAATCTCATGTAAACGATTTATGATGGATTTATCTCGACGGATTTTAAAACAAATATTTTATTCCAACATAAGGATTGGGACTTAAGAGCCAATTCTCGGATAAAATTTGTATGTTATGTTACGGGTCTAAGTTTTTTAGGAGTTGATGGTAACAAACCTACAAAAAGCTATGTATTTGTTGTGTGATCAGGCGTTTTACACCTAAAACCTAGTCTCCAAAACGCACTAACATCAAATAAAAGTTTTATCATAAGTGCAAATTTTTCGTGACTCTTCGATAACATATACGTGAAGTTAGGTTTTATACATACCTTTTTGACAAATCATTACTACCAACTTATACGAAGGAAGATCCGTAACAAAGCATTACCACAATCTTTCTATTTTATCCGGAAATTGATCGCTTAGACTTGTTCATTATAATTTATGGAAAATACAGATATTACGACATGTGTTTATCAATAATGAAGTGCATTATGTGTAATGAAATTCGCTCCAAAGGGAAAATCTATTCTGGGACAAAGTTATAACTTGAAAGTATATCTTCAATGATTTTAAGAACATTTTTTAACAATTTTCATTATACCAACTTATTCTTAGATACTTACGGGCCAATTCTCCGGTAGAATAGAACGAAACATAGCGTTCTTATGGCAACTCTATGTTACGCTCCTTTCTTAGTACTAAAAACTATTAAAATGCTATCTACTTGCTATGCGATTAGGTGTTTTACACATGAATCATTATAAATGCGCATTATACAGATGCAGTAATGATAACATTCTGACGTTTGTGCGTTTTCTAGGATAGGTTTTATATCTAAATCGTCTGATGATATAGCAAATACATAGCATTTTGATAGTTTTTAGTACCAAGAAAGGAGCGTAACATTGCATCGCCATAACAACCGATTCCATAATAACCGAGAACGATTCTGCCGCATAACAGACAAATGTTATGGCAAGGCCATGTTACGCTCCAACTTCTATACATTATGCTACTGAATCGTACTGAATACTGTCAAAATGCCATGTATTTGCTGTGCATTCAGGCGTTGTATACATAAACTGCAACGTCACTCGTATGTTATGAACCTGAGTCAGAAAGACCCTGTTATCTAACATCGTTTTTTTGACATTTGTGCTGTTTCTACGATTTGTTTTGCCTGATTTCACAGCAACCACATGGCTTTTATCGATATTTAAAATGGATTTGTATGGAAAGTTCTTCATAACATAGCCTTGCCATAACATTGGTCTGTTATGCGGCAGAATCGGTCCCTATGTTACGGTTTATTTTACAAGGAGAGTTGGCAAATAATAGACTCAAAAATACTTCACCTTAAGTCGAGATAAATCCATAAAATTGTTTCCTTTACAAAGGCAGATAAATAGTGGGAGTCTCAATCTTGCTTGGACAGGCATAAGTGCTACAGCTAACCGTTAGCTTTAAGACTATTTCTTAAACGGATGCGTGTCATGTCGTTTCTATCGCTCTTAGTCTTTATATATTATAAATTTTATAAATTGTGCATTTGTATTTATTAACTGTATATATAAGTTCAGTAATTTGCATATAAGGGAAACTCGGTTATATCCGTGGTGCACTATCCCGAGTTAATTTTTAAAGGATCGCGTGTTGGTTCATAGCCCGATTGTTTGAATTGTTTCACAGTTGCTTGATTTGCTTATAATATCGGACATACCGAGTTTCCTCTGTATTAAATTAATTTATTTTCCTTATTTTTCTCTATTTTCTCTATTCTATCACCGTCGTCTGACTGTTGTCTGTTTGCTAGATGCCTGCCCCACCACTCCTCCCGTAACACAGTTAGAGAACAACTCTAGTTCAACCGCCGGCTCTGACTTCCAACAGGTAAATAACTCTAAAAATCTCCACAAAAGCCACAAATACATCGTTTTCAAAACATAATCGATTAAGTTTCCCGGGCATTTTTGTATCATACTCCTGAAACTTTCATCACGACAGTACACATACAAAACACAGCGCCTTTTATTCTCTTGCCCTCTAGAGATTCCTCGGCTTGATTCACTACTGTATATGTAAACTGAGAACTTGTTATTCGTTCCGATATTAGAAGTACCTCGTAGTTTTATTTATTTACTATTTTTATATCTCTTTCTTTAAATCGGATACATTGATAATTAAATTCGCTTTTACCTAAATTGAAACCTTTTGGCAGAATAAAAAATGCATGTTTTTTTAGTCATTAATGAAATTTATGTATTTACTATATTTGGATTTTTATACAATTTTAATAGATATAATAGCAATTTAAATGCTATTTTACCTACATATTACCATTTTTAGAACAGTTTATTACTCCTCACCAGGTACAAAGTTGTCACGACCAACTCCAAATATTTATACATACACAAATACTATCAGTTTTGAATGTTCTATCTTATATTTACATATAGTATAACCTTATAATTTTTCAAAACTGATAAATATATACAATCCAAAATTGATCAACATGAGTATCTAAAACTAACCCTAAACTCTCACCATCATGTGTTTCGATGTGTAGCAATTGTATATCCTAAATCATGCACTTGTTAAAACCAATTTTAACAAGTCAATGACACTTTTACAACTGCATCTAGCCTATTGTTATTTATTATTTCTGTTATATTAGTTGTCTCTTCTGGAATGGTTGTTCTATATATAAATGTTTGATCGTAGTGTCCTTAACTGTTTGTATATAATATATAATATAGCCGTGTCTATTTTTCCTGGTTTATAACTAGTTGGCTATTATATAGCCTAAGGTATATTCAAACATCAAGTATGGTAAAAGAATTTTGTCTGACTATTTTATTTATGGAAGTTTGTTATTTGGTTACAATTATATTTGATGTTTGATAGAATAACATTGTTCCAACATGTAGTTTCATTGTACAACTTATCAAGAAGGCCTGTGTTTTTTTCGAAGCTTCTCAGGGCAGCATCCAATATCTTAACGAACCTGCCCTGAAAATATTAATAGTATATAGATGATTGATGCAATAAAAATACCTAGGTATATTTGATAGTATAATATTAACATGGTAGGAAGTCCAAAAATGATGAATGATTACAATGTTGATAGTCGTTGTTCTTAGTACTCATTTTTTCATCGATATCGACTATTATGGAAACAGTTCTTCTAGAGAATAACAACTTAATTTTAATCCATATATTTTAGATTAAAGTAGATGCAATATGCGACATATAATTCGGCATAATTTACTGCCTTAAATGATTTACCTATAACTATTTCATAATTCATTGAAAATTACTATACTACATTGCATTATACATCATGTATAATAATGCATACAGAACTTATTTAGTGTCCTTGCTGAACATATACCTACTTTTATTGTCTCAAATATAAAAATCGCAAAAATAAATCAAAGCTTTCATCAGTAATTTTAAAACTAAAGACATCCAGGTTTATTAATTACTTATTTCACAACAATTTTTTACTATCCATGTTTCCATAAGCAGTAAATTATGCATTCATGGTAGACTAAGAATGGTTTCTTCAAACATAGTTGAAAAAATGTCGTCTATCTAGATATCTTCTGTTAGAATTTAAAAATTATTATCTAATATTAACAATTACCACAGAGACAGAGAGGCGGTCTCATGCAGAGAGGTGGTAATACCACGCAGCAGACTAACCAGCAGCAACAGCCTGCGCAGCAATCGACGTCGATATTCAGCGCTGCTTCCAACTTATTTGGAGGCGGATCTTCTAGCAACCAACAGCAAAACCAACAAACCATGCAACAGCAACAGAATCAACAATCGAATACCCAACAGTCAACAATGGGAGGATTATTTGGATCCAGTAGTACCGGTGGCATGTTCGGTAGTAGTCAACAGACGAATCAACAGAGGCACAAAGGACCCCCCGTTATACCTACGGGTATGGGCGCTGGTCCTATGGGAGGTCAACAAATGGGTCAAAGTACTCAACAAGGTTTCGGTATGGGTGCGAATCATCAGCAACAGCAACAAATGGGCGGTGCGAACCAGCAACCAGGAGGTCCGAATCTAATGCAAAAGTTTACAGAAATTACAGCACCTGGCGGTGATATATTATCAAAGGGCAAAGAGTTGATTTTTATGAAATTCGGTCTCGGAGGTAAATAACCCGCGAGCGGTCTGGCCGTTGAACGATGATGGCGGTGGTTGTTGATATCTTTTAGATTTATAAGAAGCAATTCGTTGATGTTTGATGCTATGGCAAGGGTGCTAAATACTTCGGTTGTTGGATTGTTATTAATACACTAAACGCATTTGCCTACTCATATTTTTGATAGCGCAAAGCAGTTTTTTATGACATTATATATGGATAAAATATCAATTACCATTTTTAGGATGAACCATATTTTTATTGTATTGCTATAAAAAAGTAATTTTTATGAATCATATAGTTCGCTATAAGAATTTCGGATACTATTTGTGTTAAATGTGGGGTCACATAAGTTGCTTCTAAAAATCATTTGAAGTATTATAAAACTGTAGCATTTACAATTTTGATAATGTGTTAAATATTCATAACAAGCAAATGGGCACAAATTAATTATTATTAGTAATGTATATTATTATAGCGTATTAAGATAATCCAAGAACTGCGTCCATTATCTTCCTCGCCGGTATATATGCCCGAACAAAAATTGTTATACCCCTGTCTCTAAACACATACAAAACTCACACAAACACATAGGATTTCACAGTTGTTTCTCGATCCGTTTTTTATTGATACGGAAACTATTATATTGATATATTACAAATGATGTGATTTAAATTGAAAATAAAAAGCAAAGTTGTCTGTTGACGCGTTTTGTCCGGCGTGCGATCTGTTCTTTTTTTGTACATCGCTCGTCGGTCACTTTGTACATACCTACCAAATATTATGATAATAATGAAAAAGAAAAAAATTATAAGTTATCGAATCGATAATGTTCATTGTTTATCGAATAGTGTGTAATAACCATCAGGACTATATAAGGTAACCGAACGGTTTAGTTGTTTGTAAAAAAAAGTTTAAAATACGCGCGCGCTCGTCGTTGTTTGTTGGCCAGACTGCGAAGCGTTTCCCTCAGTGATACCAATATCCTCCCCCCACCAGCTTCGTCCTTTAGTCTTATTCTATGCATATTCTTATATCACATTTATATAAATTTAAAACAATCTTGCGGCATAGTTGGTAATTAAAATTGTTATAAGTGTGTATTATTTTAATGGATACTATTTATAAAAAAAATCTGAACTTATTCGAATAATTATGAAATATTACTTGAGAGACATTGTCATATTGGGTATGTGATGACAATTAAAATTTTAAATATCATCAAAAATATGACAATAGATAGACAATTTCGAAATTAGGAATAAAGTATATATGTTCGTCATTAATCGGAATTCTCTAATAACTGAAGAGTTGGACTAAACAGAAATATTTTATAATTTTTAAAAAATATGACAATACCAAATTTTCAACAACTCGAATTAAAAACAGTTACAGATCGAGTTCTTGGACTTGTGGTGGGCATCATTTATTAATTAATTTTTTGTGTATTTAATTTGTAAGTTTAGGTTCATCTCATACTAACAATTTTAATGTAATCTGGGTAGTCAACATTAAACAATGGCCTGGCTTTTTATCCTTCTACTACCTCAACATATTCAAAAAGCAATTTAGAAAACGTACTCTTATTACTGATTGCTGCAATATACACTTCATCGGCCATTTTTTATATTATTGATAAATAATAAATATATTTAGCAATTTTTTAAATAAATACATTTTGGGTTTTGCCCCAGATTCTGCATCAGTAATAGAGTACACTTTAGTCTTGGCTTATTGCGTTATCAATGTGAATAAAACCTATGATATATCTGAAATACTACTTATATTTCTGAAAATGCTATAAATACATAGTCCTCCCAGTTTTTATGCTTAACATTTAATCATTGCTTGCTTTTTATAAACATGCACGTATTTACATAAGTCTGCTCTAAAAATCTTCTGAAAGATAATTTTTATACAACTTAAGCTGGTTTCTACTTATACCAAGAATCTTCATTTCGGTTTCAAAATAGTACGTTCTAGGGAATGCAATACCGATAAAAAATTCAATACCGGTTTTTCGGTAATTTCTCCGGTATTTCACCGGTAATACCGGTGAAATACCGGTATTTTTATTATCTTAAACAAATGTAAACAAAATTGAAAGTACTAGAACAAATTAAAAATATATCATAGAACCACTTAAAGATATATCTGTCTATGCGATTATGGAATTTAAAAATAAATTCGATCCGAGAAATTTAAACTCAAATGTGATATGTATCAACTAGCGCATATGTAAAAATACCGAAAATACCGGTATTTTTAGGGTAAATACCGGTATTAATAGCGCCGAAAAATCGGGCGGTATAGCGGTATTTTGCTATACTGGTATTTTGGTATACTGGTATACCGGTATTCTGGTATTGCATTACCTAGTATGTTCAAACTAATATATTAATTTTAAATACAACATACCATTTGAGAGTTTTGTTTCAGTATATTTAGTATGTACTTACGTGCATGTGCTGTTCAACTTGTGTAAATAAGTGAAATAAGACAATATCACTGATAAAATTTATCTTAAATGACATATTGCAAAAATACTTTCAAATCATTATATATCGGTGTTAATAATTACTTCTACTTTTAGGCTGGTGATTTCATTCCATCAGATCCCAAAATAAAATTCCTGATATCAATCCGAAATACCTCCCTCCTCCGAATATATAAATATGATATAAAAATAAGCTCTGATGCATTTACGTGTCTATTGAAAAAGTTTAACTATGATAATATCACTGTTATACATT